ACATACATATATACATATATATGTATGTATGTATATATATACATATATATGTATATATGTGTATATATGTATATATGTATATATGTATATATATGTATATATGTGTATACACACACACACATATATATGTATACATATATGTATACATATATATATATATGAAAGGTATTGAGAGGGTAAAATTGACAAAATATGACAATGGTTTGGATATGTGGGGAGAGTGAGAGTGAGAAGTTGGGATTACAAGCATGGATAACTGGGAGGATGCCAGTAAGATGAAATCTGGGAAGAAGGAGTGTTTGGGGGCAAGAGAATCAGTTCTGTTTCAGACATACTATATTTGACATGTTGATGGGACACCCAGTTTAAAATGTCTGAAAGGCAGGACTGAAGCTCAGGAGAGGGATTAGGACTGGATAGCTATAGATCTGGGTATCTGCTGCAGAGAGATGATAATTGGACCTACAAAAGCTGATCACCAAGCAAGAGAGCATAGAGCAAATGAGAAGAGGGTCCGGGTCCGAGCTTGGAGGACACCCATAGTAGGTAGGCGTGATCTGGATGAAAGGTCACCAAAAGAGACTGAAAAGGGGTGGTCACACAGGCAAGAGAAGGGCCAGAAGAGACCAGCATCACAAAAACCTCGAAAAGAAAATGTCCAGGAGACAGTTATTGACAGTATCAGAGGTGGCAGAGAGGTCAAGAAAGATGAGGATTAAGAAAAGGTCATTAGATTTGAGAATTAAAAGATTGTTGGTAATTAGAAGAGAAGCAGAAATTTGGGGAGAAAGTTTTGCAGCAGGTTTCTTGAATGAAAAGTCTCATTTCTAAGATATATAGGGAACTGATTTAATTTACTCCTTAAGAGCCATTCCCTAATTGATAAATGGTTCAGGGAATATGAGTAGGCAGTTTTTAAAGGAAGAAACCCAACCTATCAATAGCTATACGAAAAAAAAATCTCTAAATCACTAATAATTAGAGAACTGCAAATTAAAATAACTATGAGGTACTACCTCATACCCATTAAATTGATAAAGATGACAAAAAAGGAAAATGGCAAATGATGGAGGGGCTGTAGGAAAACATGTACCTTAATGCACTATTGGCAGAGCTATGAACTGATCTAAGTCATTCTGGAAAGTGATTTGAAACTATGTCCAAAAAGCTGTTACACTGTATATACCTTTTGCCCCAGTGATACTGCTACTAGGTCTATACCACAAAGAGATGAAAGAAAGAGGAGACAGACCCAAAGGTATAAAAGTATTTACAGAAGCTCTTTTTGGGATGGCAAAGAACTGGAAACGAAAGGGAAGCCCATCAGTTTGGGAATGGTTGAACAAGTTATGCCATATGAATGTGATGGAATCCTATTGTGCTTTAAGAAATGATGAAAGGGATGGTTTCAGAGAAATGTGAGAAGACTTGAATAAACTGATGCAGAATGAAGTGAGCAGTACTAGAAGACTAATTTATACAATAACTACAGTATTATGAAGACAAACAATTTTAAAAGACTTAGGAATTCTGATCAATGACCTACCATGATTCCAGAGGGTTTCATCACAATTCCATGATGAAACATGCTATCCACCTCCATATAGAGAGGTGATGGATTCAGAGTGCAGATTGAGGCATTTGGGGGGGGGGGGCGGGCTGGAGGGTTGAAGGGATTTGGCCAATGAGGGAATTTGTTTTACTTTACCTTGGAGTTCTCCTTTTCCCGTTAATGAATAGTGATCAGAAGCTTGAACCTTAGAACTACAAGGTAGCAGACAGATATAATTCTAGCTTGGCACCCACTCTGAGAAGAGCAGAGTGGCCAAGCTTTTGGCCCCAACCTTCTGCTTCTCCTCCTGGGAGAGATTAAAGTCCCCCTTGGATCAGGGTGGAGGGAGAAGAGGCTAGAGGTGTCTGTTCTGCCTCTCTTCCAGCCACACGATGACCCCCCATGCCACATGTGGAGAATAGCCTCATTACACTTGATTATACATGTTGATAACAGTTTTATTTTTCTTGCTTTCTCTGGGGTGAGGGAAAGGGATAAGAGGGAGGAGGTAAGTGGGATAGACTGCACCTAAAACTAAAATAAAATAGAATAAAAAATAAACCATAAAAAAATCATTGGTGACTTTGGAAAGAACAGTTTCCTTTTAATGATAAGGTCAAAAGCCACATTGCAGAGGGTTCAGAATGAAATGAGAGAAGAGGAAGTGGAATCACTTAGAGAAGACAGCTTTCCCAAGGAGTTTAGCCATGAAAGGAAGGAGAAATATAGGAAGATGGAGACTAATGGTGGGATTAAGTAACAGGTGAAGGTTGAAGGAGTCTGGGTGTATGTGTAGAGAGCAGGGAAGGAGCCAGGAGATAGGGAGAGATTGAAGAATAGAGAGCAGGGGTGATGGTGGGGCGATCTGCTGGAGAAGAAGGTGAGGGAATGTAGATGGGATGGAATGGATGTAGAGGAGCTGTCCTTGGCAAAGAGAAGGACCACCTCCTCATGGGAGATAGGAGTGAAGGGTTAAGGGGAGATTCTTAGCTGAGACTGTATAGGGAGGGCAGGGAAAAAAGGAATCGAATTCAGCCAATCTAACTCAACTTGTGAAAGGAGAGCAACCCAGTGGCTCAACCGCCTCTTTTGTAGGCCAGCTGGCAGGAGGCTGTGAGGCTATTTAACAATGGAACAGAAAAAAATGTGTTGATTAGATAGGTATTCTGGGCAGTCTCACTATAAAGAGGAAGAATGCTCCCCCAGAATGGAGTAGGACAGAAAGCAATAGCAAAAAACAAAAGTTCTTCAGATGACAGTCATGGGGGTGGGAGTGAAGTGGAGGTGGGGGGGTGATGCTGCTGGAGGCAGAACTAGATATTTAAGCAGGATGAATTTCCAGCCACAACATTAGGCAGATCCCTATCTAGAAGTGTACATTTTTTGGGGGGACTCTGCTCCTTTTTCTCACTGTTGTGTGAGTCACTAGAAGAGCTCCCCTTTGGTGGTGGAGGGCATTGGGGGGCGGATGGGGCCCCTGGGGATGAGTTTACCAAATGGTTTCCCCCATTGTTTACTATTCTGTTTCATATACTTTGCCATTTGATTTATGCTTCCTGCATGGTCTATTGGTAGAGAATGCAAATGAGAATGAAGGAAACAGATCTTTGAGTTCCAATTTTCTGAGATGTCAAAAGACTACTTTTGATTTTCATGATCTGGAACTTTTGCTTTTTCTAAGGTATTTTCTGTAGTGGAGTAGAGATATAAGTGTTTGTATAAAGAACATATATGGTAATCAAAATATTTTGAGATTATGTGACCTAAAATAAAATTTAAATTTTGAAATAAAATAGAAGCAGTTAAATATTATTTTACAAAAATTCTTTTTAGAAAGTGAATGAGTCGGTCATGGAAAATAATTTCAATACTCCATTTCACTTAGTTTTTCCTACTGATTTATTACACTTTTGTTAATTTAACACAACACTAATACAATACAGATATTTCTTATTTTAAGTAAACCCATTTTATAATATTTTAGAAGGACAGAATTCATCAGCTGTCCCATTCTTTGAATTCTTTACAGCATTCAGAAAAACTCAGGACCACGAGGGTGAGCCATTTAAAAAAAAGCAGACTACAACAGCTGAAATCACCCCCCAACCCCCCACCTCCCCACCCCCTACCCCCCAACAATCAAAATTAATCACAAGTACTATTTTTCACTTTTATATGAATACAATTAATTATTCCATTTATGTAAATATAAATGTATACTTTTATATTCATACTTAAAGTTTATTCACGTAAAATTGACTTTCAGGAAACAACATTGAACAAAAGTCAAAACCTTGTTGATATTTCCAGAGACAGTCCTTGGACAGTCCTTGTTTCAACAGTGTTTTTCACATCATGGATGAAAATATTTACGTTTGGTTTCCAAACCTTTCCAGTACAGTCTGACACAGCTCCTCTGGTTTAAGCAAAAATGTGGAGGGAAAGGGTGTTTGTCCATGTATAAGACTACGAATGGTCTGCATACTAATAGCTAGTGGTCACAGGTGGAAAATCAGAGCCTTGGGTGTGGTTCCCTGCTTCTGAATGCTGGACACCTAAAAAGAGAGTACAGCCATGGCTAACTCTCCTTTCGGATTCTTGAATGTCAAATGGAGCCAGCAAGACACTCCAGGGAACAAACATAGCAAAAGTCTGTGTGTTAAAAAACATACAACTTACTAATGGTTCAATTTTGCTTCACTACCTCTTTTTTTTTGGTCTTTCACCACTCAGTGAATTAATTCCACTTTGAAAAATCTTTCTCTTGTGTTCTGCGCATGCATTTCCAGCTTTGTCTCCTTTCTCCTTCCCCTCCCCTGCAACTTTGGCCTTTGCAATTCTTGTCCATGTCTTCATGTCAATTTCCCATAAAGGATCTCCCCAGGCTGGGCCTTTTTCCATTCAGTGGGTACCAGGACAGCACCCTTACCCTTTTTACCTCAGGAGATGTTGGCCTCAGGAAAATCCTTCTCTTTGCCCCACTCCTTTCTCAGTCTTTTCCCTTCTCTGTTCCATTTGTAAGCAAAAGACACCTTAATCGTGGTGAGAAACACAAGGGTAGTGCTTATTACTTATATATGTATATACATAGAGATAGATAGATAGATAGATAGATATAATCACATTTATCTCACATATTCACAAGAGTAGTGTTTATATACCACTATCACAGTGTCAAGGAAAAAGAATACCATAAATTTGTTAGTGAAGTTAGCCATAATAAAGAACCCTCAAATCTCTAATGCTCTCCCAAGTGTCCAGAAATCACCTTCAGAATCATCACAGAGGTCACTTTGCACTTTCTGTAATCCAATCTGCCTGAATAAACTTATTTACACTAAGGTGGAAGAGGCTCCCAGGAATAGTTGTATTTTAAAACAAGATATGGGAAGAGGGCAATGCTCAACTCAAAATAACATCCATTGTGGTGGGATTTCAGAGACTGTGGCTGTCTCATGGTAAAGATATTTTTGGATGGGGTGGGGTCGGGGGAGATTGGCCTTCCCTGTACCCTTCACTTGACACCATGTAGGTGACTACCTATTGCATTTTCACATAAAGTCAGCCCATCATGGAAACTTTTTGACTGATGTTAATAAATGGAAGGAAAAAGTAAGACTCCATTGTGTCAGATTACAGAAGCAGTAAGACAGATGAACCAAACCCTAGTATGTTATTCATACTTGCCATCCTCAAAACATTCCCATTTTCATTTCCATTAAATTTTTGGAGATAGTAGAAGAGAGAACAATGGAAAATAAGAACATTTCCCATCAATTATTAGGAGAACTGGTTTTTTAAAAGAAATTGTATAAAAGATTCTTTATTATCTCTATTTTTGCTACTTTTTTCATACAAAGAGAATAATATAATTTGCATCTGTATGGAAGAGCAGAGATGCAAATAGCATAATTTGGTGTCCATCACATGAGTACAAAGTGAGAAAAGTTAGAAATGTCATCCACAGTCCATGAAGGATTTGGGTCCTATAAGTTAAAGAGTTTGGTTTTTTCTTTCTCTCTTTTTTTTCAAAAGCAAGATAGCTTATTTTAAGGGTACATGTTATTGTCAGGGTGGGTATCATAGACAAAAGAAATGTTTCTGTATACAAGCTGTTCTTGGGATGCCTTCCTTCCTCACCACTACCTAACTTGACATGAGGCTCAGCTCAAATGTCTGTCACCCCCTAAGTAGGACTTTTCCTCATCCAGGTGTAGGTGCCCTTCCAGACAACATTACTTCCCATTTACTCTGTATATGGTTTGTACTGAATTGTCTATATGTATGTTGTCTCCTCTAGAAGAATGTAAGCTCTTTGAGGACAGGGAGTAGCTGACTTTTGTATTTGTAATCTTCAGAGCCTAGCCCAGCCTCTGGCCCATAGCAGATGCTTATTAAATGCTTTAGTAGATGACCTCAAAGGGCTCTTCTATCCCTAAATCTACAATTCTTTGATTCTAGGGGAAGTGTTTAGAGTGATAAAGAGACATTGGGTATCTGAAATCTGCCTTGGCATTCCAGATCTGTCAGGTACTAGCCATGTGTCTACAGACAAATAGTTTGCTTTCACTCAACCACCATTTCTTCATTTCTGATACAGACACTACCTGTCTCACGGGGCTGTTAGTAGGAAAATGCTTTCTAATGCTTGAAGCACTATCGAAATGTGAGTTATGTGTGACCTTTTTTGAAAGGAAATATTCCTGAAAATGCATCTTCCTATATATTGAGTTTTACATTTTTAGTGCTGTGTTGATTTCATTCTCTTACTCCTCCCCTTTCTCTTTCTATAACCATGCATGTCTCCACCTACTAAATGTTTTCTCTCTAGAGTTTAGAAAGTTTTAGAACATCAAATTTTTACTCACAAGAATATAACACACACACACACACACACACACACAAGAATATTTGACTGGACAAGAACCTTCTGTTAAGTATCTCCAATACAATTCAAAGATGAGTAATTAAGTGTTATACTCCTCCCCAGAATTCCTAGCTACACATACACTTGGAAAAAGCTTGATGCCTGCCCTCTTTAACTGATAACAGAGGAGGCACTATCCTCTTCCTTCTTAGCCCCATACCCAGTGAGCAAGGTCACACTAATCTCAGAGACCTGGGTGCTCCCAGTAGCTGAAGCAAGGCCTGTGGTCAGGTTCCTGGTGACAGCTGGACGCCTGGGACATTTGTACTTGAAACAAAAGATTTGTGTTTTAAAATGCTCCCGGAAAGTTTTGCTCAGCCAGTAAAGAGCAAAGGGGTTTACACAGGAATTGCTAAAAGCCAGTGCCCGAGAGAAAATGGTGGCCAGAAGATGCAAGGTAGAAGAATCAATGGAAGAATGATAAGTGAAGGACCGGTAGAGGTAAAGGATATGATTAGGCAGCCAGCAGATAGCAAAAAACCCCACCAGCACCAGCACTGTCTTGGCAACTCGCTTGCGGGATTCAATCTATGAAGCAAAGGAAGAAGAAAGGTTATTTAGCAGGTTAAGATAAACAGAGCATTTGGGGTCCTTAGAACCTAACTAGGCCACATGGAACATCACAATGTAGCCCATCACACCAATTAATTAAAAAGCAAATCACTGAGATGTCTGCTGTGTATGTAGACATCTCTCTATACATTGATAGAAGGAATCAAAAGATCCCCTGGTTTTTAAAGAGAAATATGAGATTTTTTTCCCTATCAAATGAGACTGGGCCTTGGTAACATTTCTATTCATTCTGTTCTTGTCTATGAGAGGTTGGCATACCTGGTCCTATTAATGCTCAGTTACATTTCTGGGAAGTCATGTAATATTGCCCAAGGTTTGCAGACAATGAGAACTACTCAAAAGTGGAATGGGCTCTTTTGGAAGGTAGCCAAGTTCCCCCATCACTGGAATTCCTTATGCATTGGTTAGATTAGAGGATCTTGTTGGGGATCCCAGGATTTATAGCTGGAAAGGATCTTAGAGATCATCTAATCTAACCCCGTAAGTGGTGATTGGTCTTTATTGTTTAAAGGTAGCCTGAATTTCAGAAAACAACCTAAAATCATTTGGATCTAAATCTAGCAAATAAGGTGGCTAATTAGACTAGGGAAGGCCAGGTTTGGTCAAAAACAAGATGTGATTTGTGACAGGATTTATTCTTTGAGGTTGTATATGCCTCCCAAAGAAGAGTTCCCCCAATGGTCTCTGCCCTGGCAATATGGTAGGAATCCATGTGTAGACCCTCCTGGAGGTACTGCTTGAAAGAAGGTAATGCTCACTAGTCAGAAGGGTACTGGCCCAGGGATCAGAAGAACTGATCCTCTCTGCTCTGCCACTTTTGGTCATGTATCCTTGGGCAAGTCACCTTCCCTCCTGGGGCTTCAATTGTGGCATACAACAAAGAATTGGATTAGCTGGTTTTTTAAGTCCCCTTCAGCTTTAAAGACCCATTATCCTTCTAGGCCTAACAGTCTGTAATAAACAATGACCCATTTGTACAGTCACCTTCCCTCTCAGAGCCTCAGTTGCTTCATCTGTAAAATGGAGATTATGCCTGGCACTTCCTATCAGACAGGCACGTTGCAAAGAAAGCATTTGGTAAGCCTTTATGTACTGCATACAAAGGGGGATTCGTGTATTAGTATTCAGTGGCTCCCCTCTCTGAACTCTGGTGGCTGCCCTAGTCTCTGCTTCCCGTCTCCTAAAGTCTTTATCACTAAGTGATGGGAAATTCCACTGTCTAGCTCAGCTTTGGGCTAGCTGGTAATGTCAGCTCTGATTCATCCATACCTGCTTGCGGGCATGTTCTTGCTCTTCGGCGGGTATTTCGATGGTGCTTTTGTAAAGAGCTTTGGCAATCAGAACATAGTAGACAGAAATGACAGAGAGGGGAATAATGTAGAAGACCAAGAAGCATAGGAGAGAATGAGCCTCTTGCCTGTTCTTTTCGGAAACAGGATAAGGAGCACAGGCTTCAAAAGACTCGTTTTTTTCAGGATTATAGAAAGGATATAAATCTGAGAATACAGCCTCCGGGATAGCAAGAACCATGGAGAGGATCCAGATACAGCCAACTTTTGCACAGGTCTTCAGGAAGGCATCAGAAGCCGGCAGTTCCAGGGGCTTCACTATTGCCTTGTATCTGCAAGTGTAACCAGAGGCAGAGAGAGTCAGCAACAAGAGCAGAAAGGTTCTGTGGCCTGATGGGCAAGGGTACAATGCCATACCATATCATACCATACTAGACTATACCGCACTGTACCATAGCATACTATACCATGCCATGCCATATGATATGAGCCAATATGAGGCATTGGCCCACAACAAATGACTCAGCAAACTTTGCTTGGGTGCTAAGGGATATGGAAGTTTGATGATAGGTGCTCAAAGTCTAGCAGAAGGATGGGGCACCAACCCAGGTTGCTAACATATATCATATGTATCATGCTGCTTTCTCAACGGGTTTGGAACTCAAAAAATTTTTAAAAGTGAATGTAATATACAACCCATTTAAAATTCTTACCTTTTTTAGTGAGGGGGAGGGGAGGGAGAGAGGAAGAAAATTTGGAACTCAGACTTTTTTTAAATGAAAGTCAAAAATTCTCTTCACATGTAATTTGAAAAAATACTATTAAAAATAAAATTAAATGAGCATGAAAAGTTGAAAAAATTAATGTTAAAAATAAACACATTAAAAATTATATCCTAGGGGCAGCTGGGTGGCACATTGGATAGAGCAACGGCCCTGGAGTCAGGAGGACCTGAGTTCAAATCTGGCCTCAGACACTTGATACTTACTAGCTGTGTGACCCTGGGCAAGTCACTTAACCCTGATTGCCTTGCCAAAATATATGTATATATCCTATAGCATTGCTAAAAGCATTGGATTTGAAGCCGGGGCCTTGAGTTTTAGTGCCAGCCCTAACACTAGCTAGCTGTCATTGGCAAGCCACTTCCGCTGTCTAGGCCACATTTTCTGAGTCTATGAGCAGGGATTCTTAACCTTTTTGTGGGTATTGGCCCCCTTTGGCAATCTGGAGCCTATGGACCTCTTCTCCAAACAATACTTTTAAATGTATAAACTAAAACACATGGGATTGCTAAGGAAACCAATTATATTGAAATCAAGTTCTGAAACTGTTTCTTCAAAAAGATACTCATGGACCCCAGGCTAAGGCTAAAGTCACCTCGAGCTCAAAGTCCTAAGATCCTAGGTTCAAAAGGAATTTTCACAGGGCTTGAGAGCTGCAAGGGACCTTAAGCATCATTAGGTCAACCTCTCTTCCAATACAAGTCTACAAACTGGGGCCCAGCATGGAGGAATGACTTGGCTAGAGTCACATAACTAGCTAGAGGCTGACTGGAACCAAGGTCTGCTGGCTTTAAACCCAGTGTTTTTTTTTTCTACCACATTAAGGCAACCTCCCACTCAGATCAATACAATCTCAGAAATGAGCTGCCACCATTTATCAGCTGGCTGATCTGATTTGGATTGCTAGTTCCTAAATAGATCACATCTCATCTTTTTTTTCTTGTAGCACCTATTCCCTTTACCCATTATGTGAGGTGCTCTAGGTTTAGGATTTTAGATCCTTACATTATTTTCCCTTTTTTGAGGTCAATAGTAAATTCTTAGGGTGTTGATTCCTGTGTGATAGTAACTGAGTGTACTGAACATCACAATCTGACCATGAGAGAATGTCCTTTCCATCAGTTGCTAAAGGTCAAAATGGATGAATTTATGTCTGCAAGACCTAAAATGTTATTAACCAGCCACAGAGAAAACAAACAGAAGTAAGCCATGACATTACCTAGCACTCCCAGGAAGCCAAAAACCTCATCGTTTTATTGCCAGAAGTGACAGCTTGGCTGCTTGATTAATTCCAAACTAATTAGTTGCGAACATCTGTATGTTAAAGCCTCCTATCAGTGGTCAATTTCACACCTGCGCTAATATCCTGGCATTGTCTCCTATGTGCCACTAGGCTGCACTAATGTATAAGGTATGGCTGTTCAGGGGCACCTTAGCCAGATACCTTGATGCACCACAGAAAAGACATAATTTTCAGTATTGCTGCAGACAATTATCCTTCTGGGAAAGTCTTTTTCCTCTGTATATCCTATCATTCTGTGAGAAATCATCTCCAAAAAGGTAATTTTCAGCCTCTTCCTAGATTGGAGAGCAGTAATTTGAAGTTTAGAGCTTTTAAAAACTTTTGTTATCCCAACCTGAAGCCCCACCACAACCAGCTAAGTCCAGGGCAAAACCTTCCCTCCTTTCCCACAACTTTCCTCCCTTGACAGACATGATAGAGAAAGAGAAACCCACCTGTCAGCGCTGAGAATGGTAAGTGTGAACACTGACACGCCGACTGAAGTGAGCTGGATAAAGGAGAGGAGCTTGCAACCGAGTCTTCCGAATAGCCAGGTATCCGCAACATACCGGGTTGCGTCTACTGGCACACAGGTTATTAGAAGCAAAAGATCTCCAAAAGCCAAGCTGGTGATAAAAATGTTTGGAACTGTTTGCATGGACTTGATCTTGAAAAAGACTTTGATGAGAATAGCATTTCCAAGGAGACCCACCGAAATGATCACGGAATAAGTCAAAAAAATGGTACACAGGATTCGTGATCCTACAGATGTGTCTTCAGTCTTTCCCTTATCCGTAGTATCATTAAAAATACTAGATGCTGATGGTGCTGTATCATTTGTGATCGAATGGAAAGCCTGGTTAGGTGAATTGAGCTGTCCTTGAGACATTTCCTCCAAAAGAGACTTTAGTCTTTTACGTGTCTTCTGCTCAGTTCAAATACGAGTTGATCAGTACATCGAATGCCTATATCAAGTAAGAAGGGGATTATAGGAAAAGAACTGGATCTAGTAGACTGTATGGAAAGAAAATTCAAGATATCTGAATACAGTAACTCATTTCTTTCAGTTTTGTGTCTCCCAGCATGCTTGGCTAATGCTCACCGTTCAGGCACTGAAGAGTGTGGGAGATGGAGGAGTTTTATTGGTGTTTCAGTGACAGAGGGATAGGGAGGGGTTGGGGGGAAATGTTCTGTAGTTCCTTATTCTTCCCTGTTGGGGAAGTCGTATGAATAACCAGACAATATTTTTAAAAACCACTTTTTTATTGGAGAAGCTCTATTTCCTCATCTATCCAGTTTTTAAAAACTGCATAGATATTGTGAGAAATGCTTTCTCTCTAGAAAAGGGCTCATTTATTTACATGCAATTAGAGTGGTCGCTGGAGTTTTCTCGTGACAACAAAGCATGTGGGACCCCTGATGGCACCAACTTGAATTCACTTTCCCAGGTTTAATATTAAAGAGACTCTGACCCAAAAGTGCACATTACTCACAGCTGTCATTTACATAGATCAAGAACCTATGATTTCAGCATTAATCAGAATTCCCTAGGCCAGTGAGTATTACAACCTATCCATAACATTTAATCTAAACTGCATTGGCTCTCAGATGGTTAAGGGACTTGCCCGTGGTCACATAGCTAATAAGTGTCAGAAATGAAATTGAACCCACTTTTTCCAGATTCTAAGTTCAGCCTTCTAGCCACTATGGCATACTCCCTCGTGTTGTGGACGCTTCTGTGATCAAAAGGGTCTAGAGACACTTCTTAATTGAGAGTTTCACTATATATCATAGGATCAGAAATGTAAAGCCATCGGAGATCTTAGAGGACGTCAGATTCCGAACCCCAAATCTTAGGAGATGATGAGAAAAGCCCAGACAGGTTCAATAATTTGCCCAAAGTCGACTAAGCTATAAGCAAAGGAGCCAGGATTCGAACCCTGATCCTCTGACTAAATCTCTGACTATGTGCTTTCCACTATACTATACTGTCTTCTCTCAGGATACTCTCAGTTACTCCTTTTGTAAGCAGACAGTTCGCAAAGTTCAGAAAATGAAGAGATTGAATTACTGTTCAACGAAAACAAGCGGAACTCATAGAAGGTCTCAAGGGAAATGGTGATGCCTATCTTTGGGCATTTCTTTCCCAGATGTGCTCATAAGAGACCCTCACTCACAAGCATTGCCATGGGTCAGGTTCCTAGTGGGTTACTGCCTCTAAAGTAACTGCTCAGTATTCTCTCATCAAGGCTTTAGGGGTCACTAGTTGGTGTTCCACTCCATGCTTCCTTTGGTGGTCTATCTGTCACCTGTCTCAGTTCCTAGAAGATGGTATCAGTCATCCCTTTGCCTTCCTCCTCTGGCCTATGTCACCAAGAACCATCTAGGCTGACTGGGCCAGAGGAAGACCTACCAACATTAGGAGTGCCCTTCTCCCTTGCCCACTCCCCTCCCCTGGGATGCCAGAACCCACGCAGGCAGTTTGACTGCTCACATGGGTGGATGAGAAGGAAGTCACCAATTCTCTTCCTTCTGGTGAGATGGAGGACAACCAGCCTTTACCATCTGCCCTACCTCTACTCCAAGCATCTGACCTACTGATCTAATTACTTAGGACCTCTGGCCTTTGCCATATGATCCACAGTTGCACTGTTAGCATTTTCAGGCTTTTCTGTCCACCCTACAGCTGAATTTTCTTTTATGTGTTGCCCCCCCCCCCAATTATAATGAAAGTTCTTTGAAAGCAATGATTGTCTTATTTTTCCTCTTTGTACCCCCAGCAACGCTTACTAAATGCTTATTCAGTCAATTGGGTGGACTTCATTAGAACTCAGAATGCAGGTACAAATCAATGTGTTCTGAGCGGCCTTCTCCTGTACCATTGTTTTCATGAGCTCTTGCCTCCCACCGACACCCTCCTAGGGATCAGGAATACCCATAATCCCTGACAACTTCCGAGCAATTCTGCATCCCCACTACGGAACTGAGTCTAAGTAAACTTCACAGTCAGATGCCTTTTCTCCCCCAGCACCAGAGCAATGAATCTTCCACCTTCCTTGGCACTTCTCATAGGTCTAGAGGCCAGGTAGACCCTCAATTCCCTTATTACCCCTCTGAAACTGACTGGGTGAGGTTCTTCAAATTACCCATGACTGCTTTCTTTACCTCCCAGAAAAGAGGGATGGACCTGTGGAAAGCCAAGCATTCTCCTAGTGGAGCCATGTGCACCAAGGGGAATAAAAATTTCTCTCTGTAACAACACAGAGTGTCCCAAAAGTTTTTGTGCAGTTTTAAGTTATTAAAACTTAAAACTGCACATTATCTCATTTGATTTTCACCACAACTCTGTGAGACAGGCACTATACAGCTCCTTTTATGCCCTTTACAGATGAGGAAACAGAACCTAAGAGAGGGTAAATGACTTAGCCAGGATCACACAGCTCGGAAGTGTTAGAGGCAGTTTTCAAACTCAGGTGTCTCCTGAGTCCAGGTTCAGCGTGCATTCCATACAGCCTCTTTATATTTTCACAGGACTGATGTCATTTCTGAGAGGTACCAACTCAGATCACCTAGGTTTAGTGACTAACTTTGCCATGTGATGAATTGGAGTCTTTGCATGAATAACTATGACTAAGTCTTATGTGATGCCAAAGCAAACTTTGAAAGGGTAAAAATCCACTCCAGCAATAGTAATAGGAAAGTTCAGGAGGGAGGGGGCTTTTGGGGAAAAGAGAATTAGTTCAATTTTAAACACGTTGAGTTTAAGATGGAGGGCACTAGAGATGACTCAGTCTAACCCTTCGTTTTACATGTGAGGAAATTAAAGCCCAGAGAGATAAAGTGACCCGTGTGAGACGACAGAGGTCGGAAGTAACAGAGGTGGGATTAGAAGCCAGGTCTTTCGATTCCAAGTCTATCATTCTTTCTACTAGATGACAGTTGCCCCTTAAATGTCGTCTGGAAAGAATTCCATTCTATTCCATTCATTTCAATTCAACAAACATTAAGGGAAGGCCATGTGCAAGGCCATGCGTGCCACTGGGCTTTGGAGTAGGGAAGAACCATGGTCAGGTTCTCCCTTTAACGTTGACAGCTGTGTGACTGTAGGCAAATCACTTTACCTCTCAATGCCCCGAGCACTGAATAAGTTGTGGAATATCAATGAGTGTGGTTACAAAATATATAGTCATTTGAAGAAGAGAACGTGTACAGCTCGGGGTATCAGAGAAGAACGTAGAAATCCAGGGCTAGAAGGGACTTTGGAACATGGAGAATAGTCAATCATGGAATGTTAGAGAACACAGACAGTCAGAACTGGAAAGGATCTGAGAAAATAAAACATGGAATGTCAGCGCTTGAAGATATCTCAGAGACCAGCTAGTTCATTTTACAGACAAGGAAACCGAGGCCCAGCAGAGGAAAGTGGATTGCCCAAGGTCATACGGTTGTAGACTCCCAGGCCACAGGGTTTTTTCCACTCCTCCATATGACATGTCTACCTACACAGGCATATGGATAGAAATTACTGACTAAATGGATTCATGCTGATATGTCAAGGACTGACTTTGTCTTTCTCCCCAGGATAGTCTGCATTCTAAAAGAGGAACTGGGAGAAGGCAATATATCACCAAATGAAGCTCTAATGGTGGAAGCCCATAATAAAGTGGCAGGAGTGCTAGACTTGAGGCCAGGAAGAAGTGGAAAGAGCTTCTATGAAACTGGAATTGACCTTCTTGGCTGGCTGTTACCTAACCTCTCTGATCTTCATTTTCCTGCTACGTAAAATTACAAAAATCATACGTGTATTCTATTTCATAAGGTTATCATTAAAAAAAAAACTGAGTACTTCCAAAAATATTATGTTAACATGAGAGATTATGAACTATTCTTTTTTTTTTCTTTTTTGGTGAGGCGATTGGGGTTAAGTGACTTGTCCAGGGTCACACAGCTAGTAAGTGTTAAGTGTCTGAGACTGAATTTGAACTCAGGTCCTCCTGACTCCAAGGCCAGAGCTCTATTCACTGCGCCACCTAGCGGCCCCTGTTATGAACTATTCTTATGGTTTAAGAGAAAAGATTTGACCTGGCCCTACCCAAAGGTACATAGTAATAAGCAGTGTCCGTACAACGAAAGTTCAGTTTTCCTGATCAAATCAAATGTCTTGGAGTCAGGGACTCAAAGAATCATGGGACCTTAGAGCCAAAAGTGTCCGGTAGGCATCCTACCTGAAAGGTTACCGGCTTCTACTGTAGGATCAGAAATTTCTCTGGTTCTTTAACTGCCTGAGGCAGAATGGAAGATGACATATAGACTGGCCAAAATGATCTCTTAGAAAATTAGGACCCCAAATAAAAGTATGCTGACACTAAAAATGGGGAGGTGGGGCAGGGGCAAGAGGAGGTGAAGGGAGTGATTGATGGGCAAGTAGGACCTGCCAGCTGGTTGTGGATGGTGATTCATTCACTTGCGTAAGATACTTGACAGGATTTGTCTTGTTATGCCAGAGAAGCATATTTCCTAATGATTTGCTTCAATTTCCTCAGTGCCTCAACAAGCCAAATACAATAGATTGGATTACTTTGTGTAGACTTCCCCAATGGACTTTGATATTTGAATATACAGATTTGAATATTGATTTCTCGCTCTTTTAGAACATCTGTGAATGAATGAATGGAAAGGCATTTATTAAACACTATGTGTTAAGCAGTGTGCTAAGTGCTGGGGAAGCAGAGAGAAAGACAAGATTGTCCCAGCTCTCAAGGAGGGTTTTGTGGCAGGGAGGACACAAGGCCCAGGAGTCCTTAGAGTGCTCTGGCAGGTCAGATGGTAACATCAAGGCAGATGACAAGCCCTGGTGGGCCACTCTCTTACCAGAAGGATTGTGGATGA